ACGTTATTGCTAAAGCCATTTATTACAAGAGACGCTAGCTCCAAGAGGGTTGTCGTCATAGGTATTCGCCTTATAAATCCATGTTAACATTTTTCTCCAAAAATGTTGCAAGGCGGACAACTTGGATATACCTCTGTAAATGATTGAATTTGATTTATTTAATTTCTTATAAAGGAAAATAACAAATGACTTCTTCCAAATAAGTGGAAGGTCAGAAGTTTCGGAAGAGAAGGTCAACAATTTGTGCAGAGGTCTACACAGGGTTTCAGCGTAGTATCAAAGCACGCAGCCTGGAACTCCGTCGGGACCGGTAATATGGTGGTTTAACTTTTTGGAGATCCAAGAGAAGAAAGCTTTCGCTTAATAATAATGAACATGTTGTCTAGAATAACTGGGCAAATAGATCGGCAATTGCCTAATCAGTATTTTCCGTAAAACTTTAAAATGATAGCGATGCTGAGTAGCAGGCTGATTTACGCCAAGTGCTAACAAAATTATAAAACTGTTTTGGATTTTGTATAAACTGGACCCTAATAACAACGGGCGTTACGGACAGTAAAATTTGGTATCGAAAAAGGCAGATTGTACTCCGCACATTTTGAATTTGTGGAAAAATCTGGACTTAACATTTTTTATGTGTGAAAGCTGGACCAGTTAAAATTTGTTAAAGAGTTTTTCCTTGTTTAAAACGAAAAAGCTATAGCAGCTATATGATATTGTCGTCGGATTTTTATAAAACTAAAAAAGTAATTCTCAGGCTTTATAAAACTATTATATACCGGAACATAACCGTATATGTTTTTAAACAACGAAGTTAACTTTTTTTCATTCATTTTTTCGATTTTTCCTATGGGAGTTATTCGTTCGAACCAGTTCCGTACTTTATAGGGTTGGAAATGTCTCCTTCACTACGTTGCCAACTTTTGACTTCAATTCCCTTTAAATTTTGGCCCCGACATACTTCAGCTGTCGTTAGTGCTAACTTAAAAACCATTAAGAACCATTTCCAACAAAAAAAACATATTCAGATTAACACGCATTAATTAATTTCTTTGTTAGGCCTGCACTGCTTGGCTTTTCATACTGCTGTTCTGTTTGTTAGTAAGAATCTCTATATCAACATTGGTCTTGTCTTCTGGCGGGCCCTTTCTGTAGTGTTGTTCTCTTATCTTTCTGTGTTGCTGCTAGGAGTGGGGAATGAATTTTATTATTTTTGGAAAATATTTTGTAGTAATTTTTTTTTATTTTTTATTTAGAAGGGATTTGTTTTGAATCAATAAATGTTCCTTAGTATTTGTTGGATTGTGGAAAATTATAATATTATTTTTCTGCGAAGAACTCAGATGACATTAGGTTTTCTGATAATTTATATTTTTTAAGTTGTTTGTTGTTCTGGTGAATTTTTTCTTGTATTTGCTGCATTCAATAATTGTATTTGGAAATCGTTGTTTTTTTAAGTATTGCATTGTTCTACGTATGTATCTTATTTCTTTTTTATACTTTTATACAAGGAATTCAGGGCGTTAGGATAATTTCAATGTAAAGTTTTTTCAAATAGGTCGTCTTGACTGATGCTGGGGATTCCATAAGTAATTTGTAATTTGTGTCATTAAATTCAAAATATCGTTGGCTGCTGTACAACAATTAAACTATTACCACGAAAATCGAACTTTGTATAAACGCATGATCTTTATTTTATTCGATTGTTTGCTGGAAATCCAGTAAAAGTTTACTAATACCACGTGAAAAGAAATTAATTATTAGTCGTCAAATATTGACATAAGTTATTTATCCTTTTCTAGAATCCGTGTGCACTTTTAATATTGTACTTAGAAAGATACAAAGCCACCAAAAATCTACCTTAACAACAAGAAATTTATTTATATAAAGCTCCGCTATTTAAAATAGTAGTGAGCGCATCACGTTAAGCAGGGAAAGTCAAATGATAAGCGCAATTTTTCTTAAACACATGTTGAAAATAACAACATATGTATATATATCGGGGGCTAGGAAATGCACTTACGTACAAAATATAAGCGAACATACACTCACCTACAAAGAACATGTACTAGCTCTCCGACATATATTTATTATGAATAGGTCAGATGTTTTTTTAATACTAGTTTATAAAAGTTTTTTTTAGTAGTTTAGTTTTAATTTAGTTCAGTATTATTATTATTCTTTATTGTGCATCACGGGACTTGCAAGGGCGATTGCACCACTTTTAGCCATTTCAGTCCAAGCTTGCTGAAACACTTGCCAAAGTTGAGATTTGCTGGATGGTTTTTGATAACTACCGCTCTCTCTCGACATCTTCCTATAAGTTTTTATCCTAATGTTTTTTTAAAGATCGACTTACACCTTTGAGCCATATATCATATCTTGCGCCACTTGTCGATCGGCCAGCCAATTTGCACTTTTGCAAATTTAATTCGTACTACTAGGTGACTCCTGACCAAGGAGCAATCTTTCTGGGACTTCTGTCAAACAAATAATTGTCTCACAGACGAAATGACTTATCGTCAGATTTAGTTCTTTTCTATCTCTCCTGTGGTAGCAAATGGATATGCCAAGGTGCCATATCATACAATCTGTCTGTCATCTACATTTTTTTTGGTTCTTTCCTTTGTTGTTTGTTCTTTTAATTTTTTAGCTAAGTTATCTAACTAATTGCAATGAAAAGCAATTAATTAAAAAAAATACATTTTGATCATTAGAATAATATAAACCTATATTAAAAAATTTTACACAAATTACTACTGTTTTAATGAGAAGCCAATCGAGTATGCATCTTCGTATTGACCTTAAAAATTATTTGTGACATCAGAAAACTAATGTATCTTCCTGTGTTTTCTCTTCCTTTCATTCCATTCGGAAAAAAAGGGAAAATCATACATGAAAATTTAGTTACTACTTAATCACCCAATTTTATTCAACTCTTAATCAGACCTATTCGTGTGTCCGAGGTCTTCCGTTGCATTTAGCATGGATGTTTTTATGTATGATATTCCCTAATATTAACAAATTATTTATTTATTTATTGAACATAAATCTATCTATGTAGGTAAGTGTAAACAAATAATTTAGAATTTTTCGATGAATATGGAATCTTCAGGCAATATACATTCCTCGACCGCAAAACTTTACTTATTTTGTAATGATTCGCCATTTTTTTTAAGCTGCAAGTAACCGGTAGTTTTTGAAACGACTGTTTATTTTAATTATCACTTCCGGCTGTAAGTCGATCATGAAAATTACTGGGGCTTGGATTAATTTTTCACCACACTAAAGTACGCGTGGCTAAAATCAACTCTTCCCTTCCTTAACAATATCTTTTATTTTTATTAACTTTTCTTAATTTCCTGGTGCAATTCTCCCTCTAACTATTATCTATATTTATGTTTAAATAACAACGAAAGGGCTTAGAAGTATTCGTAGTGGCCTATGAATTTGCAAATTTGTCAACTGCTAAAATTTTTCTGTGACGATTCTGCATATTACAATTATGGATTGCAGTATTTACCTAGATTATCGATTAAGCTGCCCGGTCGTGTCAGATCATAAACAGATCCATATTAACAACGTAAACAATAACTGACGAGAAGATGGAAAAAATAAAAAATGCTCAGTACCTAGGAGTCTCACTCCCATGCAAACCTAACTGACATAAAAACCATATAATTAAAAAAAACGTAAATTTTCAAAATGTTTTTTTTCACGCTAAAAGGCGTAAAAGCTGAATGGAAAAATGATATATGAAATAAAATCCAGGTCCCCATTATCTAATGATAAAGAAAAATACATTGGCGCAATTCAAAAATTACAATTTTTAATCATTACGGCCATTTTGCATCACGTTTTTGAGTTACTTCAGCTAGGATGAAGGTTGTTAAATCATTTTATACAGATTGTTCCAGTCAGGACTTACAAATGCTCGACTCATTTTTAATTTTGTTCACGTTAAGCACGCACGAGGGCTTTTGTTATAGGAGTGTTTTGGGGGTGTTTTCAGCTTTTACTAGTGAAATATTTTGATGTCATTGGATGTCTTCGTTTTAGATATCATGTCGCACCGGATATGTTTCCAAGCTCTTTTTTTGTGTTTTTTTTATTTGGCTCTATTAATTCTGGCGTTGTAGAATATGACCTTGTACTCTAATCGGAGTTGGAAATTTATAAATTTATAATACAGATGTCGGTACTCATTATCTAGCCATGTCCGTCTGTCCGCCCGTCCGTCCGTTTCTACGCAAACTAGTCCCTCAGTTTTAAAGCTATCTGCTTTAAACTTAGTTAAAAGTTGTCTTTTTATTGCAGGTAGTATATATTAGGTTGTCAAATAACTCCTTTTTGCTTTTTTGCTCTTTATTCAATGCTTTATAAAAACTGATACAGTGAACGGATTTAGCTAAAATATGCCCCGTTTTGTTCTATAATATGTTTCCATTTAGACGGCAACTTCATGATACCATCCTCGTAGAAACTTCCCTCCTCATTTGCGAAAAACTCTGACATCCACTTTTCACAACCCTCTTTTGAGGCTAACTTTACAGCAGTAAAGGCATTCGCCATGGACAGGAACAGGTGGTAGTCATTTGGCGCAATGTCCGGGCTATATGGTGGATACAATAAAATCTCCCATCCGAGCTCCCGTAGCTTCTGACGAGTCATCAAAGAAGTGTGTGGTCTGGCGTTGTCCTGGTGAAACACTACACGCTTCCTATTGGCCAATTCTGGTCGATCGCCAGCTTCAAGCGGTCCAGTTGTTCGCAGTAGATGCTAGAATTAAGCGTCTGGCCATATGGGGGCAGCTCATAGTGTATGATTCTCTTCCAATTCCACCAAACACAGAGCAAAACTTTCCTGGCCGTCAATCACGGCTTGGCCGTCCTGTTTTGGACGATTCACCGGCCTTCAACCACGACCGTTTTTGCTTGATATTGTCGTATGTGATCCATTTTTCGTCGCCAGTCACCATCCGCTTCAAAAAGGGGTCGAGTTCATTCCGTTTCAGGAGCATATCGCAGGCGTTGATTCTGTCCAACAGGTTTTTTTTGCGTCAAATCATGCGGCACCCAAACATCCAACTTTTTTTTGTATCCGGTTTGGTTTTGTATAACGGTTTGGTGACTAACTCCTATCTCCTCGGCGATGCCACGAGATGTCACATGCGGATCTAGCTCGATGTTTTCCATGATATGATCGGTATTCGTCGTCACAAGTCTTCCGTCGGCTGGCTTATCCATGGTGTCGTTTTCACCGGCTCTGAATCGTCGAAACCATTCCTCCGCGGCTCGAAGTGATAGAGTACCATCCTCTAAAACACAATTAATCTCACGGAATGTTTCTCTAGCGGATTTACCTTTTACGAAGGAAAACTTTAAAACAGCGCGAATTTCGGCGTTAGCAACCTCCATGCTTACACATGTATAACACGTATAACGCAATAACCAAACTTGTTATGAATAGCGTCGTTTTGTTATATAGCATTGCCCGATATCGATATGTAGCGCTTTGCACAAAGCCGCCAAATTCAAAAACCGGAAGGGAGATATCTGACAACCTGATAAGTCGGATCAAGCCGGCAGGTGCGACTATGTCACATAGCTCCCATAGAAACAATCGGAAAAAAATTCAAACAAATTATAACTTTGTTGTTTTTAATTATTTTAATTATTATTAATTATTATTTAATTATTTTGTTCTTGGGGATTTGGTAATATTTAAATATTATAGAATTGCGGTTTTAATTAAATTATTATTAAATAAATCATAATAATTAATCGGACAACAATATCATATAGCTGCCATAGAAACGATGACAAAATGCAGCCCAAAATTGACATAGCTTCATTGTTTTTAGTAATATAATCATAGAAATCGAAATGTAGTACATTGATTTGTAACAACTGCAAGGGTATATAAACTTCGGCTTGCCGAAATATTACCAAATCCCAAAGAAATATAAAAAAATTAAAAACAACAAAGTTATAATTTTTTTGAATTATATTTTTCCGATTGTTCCTATGTGAGCTATATGATATAGCCCCCAGTCCGGCTCGTTCCGATTTATATATTGGGTGTACAACTTAATAACCGGAATTTGACGCTAGATGTCCGTACTAACAAATATCGTAAAACCTCGAACTTTATATATATGTCATTTTGAAAGTGTATTTAACAGCTGTCAAAATCAGTCAACAAAACAAAACAATTTTATCTTGTGTGCATCATTATTATTTTTCACGATGAATAAGTTGGAAAATTGGAGAAAAAGTCAGCATTTGCGGGAGGTTCAGTTGGGTCATTTTTTTGCAAAGAAAACTGCTGCGGAAAGTCATCGTTTCCTTGTAGAACGCTTTAGCGAAAACACAGTGTTTCAACGCTTCAAAAGTGCCGATTTTGATATCAAAGACAAAGAACGTCCAGGACAGCCAAAAAAAATTGAAAACGAAGAATTGGAGACGCTACTCGATGAGGATTCGTGTCAAACAATCACAGGTGACCTGTACCGAACACAATTAATACTTTTGAGGCGTGTCATCATCGAAATACTCTCTCCACACACGAGGCTACAATTTTTTATCATGACAACGCTCGGCCGCATATAGCGACTCCTATAAAAAACTATTTGGAAAATAGTGGATGGGAAGTTTTGGCCCACCCGCTTTATAGCCCGGACCTTGCTCCGTCTGACTTTAATTTATTTCGCAAAACGCCCTCACCGCAACACGCTTCACTTCAGAGCAAGGCATCCGAAATTGGATAGATTCGTTTTTGGCCGCCAAACCGGCGCTATTTTTTTGGGATGTAATTCATAAATTGCCTGAAAGATGGGGAAATGTTGTAGCTTTCGATGGACAATACTTTGAATAAAATATATTGTAAGATTTTTCCACAATTAAGCATCAAATTTCGCTAAAAAAAATTCCGGTTATTAAGTTGCACACCCAATACTACCTGCAATAGAAAGACAACTTTCTAGCAGAAAAACTGAGGGACTACTTTGCGTAGAAACGAACGGACGGACAGACAGAAGAACATGGCTAGATCGACTCTCCTGGTGATGCTGAAGAAGAAGAATATATATACTTTATAGAGTCGGAAATGGCTCCTTCACTGCGTTGCAAACTTTTGACTGAAATTATAATACCCTCTCCAGGGGTATAAAAACATTTATTATCATTCAATGTTATGTTATACAATGTTATAGAGTACCTAATAATAAATAAGTAAGAAATTAAGAATAATAAGACCCAACAATAAAATTCATTATAGGTAAAAATAAAAAAAAAAAATGCGCGGAGAAACGCTATAGTCAGCTTCACGACTATAGGATACCCGTTACTTATATAATCAATTTCAACATAAATCGCACTCTGCCGATCTACAGTTCATAACTGGCGTAAAATCTTCATGCTAAATCACTGATCTATAGCTTTTACAGTTTCCGATCTTGACGTTCATACTTTATAGGGTCGGAAACGCTTCATCTCCCTGTTACATATTTTCAAACGAGTATAATATAATGAGTATAATAATGCCCTTGACTAAGGCGTTTTCACTGAATACTTTTAATACTTGGGTTTGGTGTAACACAAATAACATTCTTACCTAAATACATGCGAATAGTCTTTATTGGCACTGGCGTTTCCTTTTAGCTGACTTTTAACTGTGGCAATTAAGTTTGCTGTGTTTTTGTCTTGAAACCCCTCGTATGTTTCTTTAATATTGTCTCTCCATTGATGAAATCGACCCGTAATCCCCTGATAATCACGAAGCTTCTCCATTCTTTTACGAAATTTATAAGATATAGATAATTTTGAGTATGTTTTTTTATAAGTTTGGTTACACAAATGGTAATCGAAATAGTAGTCAAATTTTACCGCGGCTAGCTAATATAATTTACGAACCGTGCCGATTGAACGTAAGTCATTCGCACTGTATTTTATGTTACCTATTTGTTTAACTGAGCATGCGCCAGAGTTGGGACGTGTGGATTTACAAGTATGTATATATGTACATATAAACGTATTTAATTTAAATAATGAAAAAAAATTGTGTGGCTTTTAAAAAGATTTTTTGCTTGTTCCGGTTCTGAGCGTTTTTCCTAGCATTTCAATGAAATTATTTGATTTGTCGATTTTTTAGACCCGAAAAGTAACAACATAATTTTTTGTGCCCTCTGAGCAATATTGGTGAATAAACTTATGCCTAAATCCATTTAACCCTAGATATTCGGGAGTATGTTAAGAGGCTAGTAAACACGATTTTAATGGAATACTTGTTTCTATAGATAAAACAAAATATTGACAGAAAACACTAAAATGTTAAATTTCTTTAATATTTCGATCAGCCTCTCAATTATCTTTACTTTTAAAATAAATGGGTAAGTTGGATTCTTTGAAAAGTATGTAATAGGGAGAAGGAAGCGTTTCCCAGTCGAACCAGCCATATCTGTCTATCTGTATATCTGTCTTGTCGTGTTGGCACTGCTTTGCTAAAATTCCATTTAATATATTGTCCAGTTTGCAGGCATTTATTGATGCTGCCAGAACATAAAGTCACAAAGTACTCCCCCTCCAGTGAATCTGTCAAGAATCTTGATTTGAAAATATTACTCAAGATGTCTTTCGTAAACTCGTAAAATCGTACGATCATTTTGATTGGTTGAAAATTGTCAATCTGGCTTTAAACTTTTTTTCAGAACTACGTCACTTTGTTAATTCCAGGTATTTCCTAACTTTGAACTTTAATAACCTTTTTGAATTTTTTTGGTTTCAGCTACTCATTCGGCCGGAATCATGTCGGCAGTTGGGGAACTTTTTTTTTGGCACCTCCGAAGACAGCACATAACTCCGTTAGTTTTTAATATTTTTGTAAAAAAAAATCTTAAAATATAGCTGAAAATATACATATTATGGGCAAAAAACTTCAAAACATCTATCGAGTTATTTCTTATAAAAAAAATTCACGAAAATCGTCTCATTTTTCATGGGTTACACTGCACTAAGGGGAATTGCCCGATTTGTATACCCTTGCAGAGGGTATTATAATTTTGGTCAAAAGTGTGCAACTCAGAGAAGGAGACATCTCCGGCCTTATAAAGTACATATATTCTTGATCATGATCGCGTCCTGAGTTGATATAAGCATGTCCGTCTGTCTTTTTCTACGCGAACTAGTCTCTCAGTTTTAAATATATCGAATTGAAACTTTGCACACACCCTTCGTTCCTTTGCACGCAGTATATAAGTCGGAACGGTCGTGATCGGCCGACTATATCCAATAGCTGCCATATAACTAAACGATCGGAAATACCATAACTTTGGTGTTTTTAAAGTTATGAAGTTGGGATTTTTTATGAGTATTAAGAATGCATCATATGAATAATTTTGGAGAATATAATTTACAGAATATTCTGCAAGGGTATATCAACCTCGCCTCCGCCCGAATATAGCTTTCCTTTCTTGTTTTCTTTTATTTTCTTTTGCTTCCATTTGCAATCAAATTCAAGCTAAGATTGCCTTCCATCCACTTTGAAACGAAATTTGAAATTATTTTTATCTTTTCGATTTGTATATTTTTTCTATTTTATACATTTTTTTTTCAGTGTAGGTTTGGAATAGAAAAATAAATTCGAAATTATATTTATCTTTTCGATTTTTATATTATTTTTAATTTTATAAATTTTTTTTTCTCCAGTGTAGGAGTAAAAATTTCTTTGAAAGAAATTAATAGAATGGCTTGCTAGTAATCAGGCCACACGTTGCTGGGCGCCACAAATATTAGTTGTTGTAGCATGCCACGGGTGAAAAATTCACAGGTCAGCGGATGGTCGATACGCACGCGTTGCTACCGGATTCTGCTCATTCGGGAAAGTGGTGGTGGGTTAAATCTTAACTACTCGTATGTGCTGACTTCGCGTGCGTAACTAATATTTGATTTCGCGTGCTTAAGGGGAACAGGGGAATAGATATACACATTAATCAGAAAAGAAAAAACAGATGGAAAAGAAATAAAGACAATCAATAAGAAGAAACAAATACCCTAGAACATGTTGACTTGTTGTTGTTGTTGTTGGTGTTGTTGCAGCAACGCTCTATGCCCGCCCTACCTTTCCCATTCGATCCGAAAAAGATCATGTTGATGAGAATGGTCCCTTGGTCAAGTCGACCTTCTAATACCCTGCCATATTTCTATGTTGCATGACCCCAATTTGTATACCTCGTATTTATTCATAATATATATTTATTTAAAAGAGTTCGTTGGGAATAATATTTAAGTTATTAAATTTAGATCTAATGCAATTTACTATATTTAACAATTAATTTATATTTATTATTAAGTGAAGCTAATTTCATTACAAAAGTCATGAGAATGGAGCTGTGGGAAAGATAATATGGCGGAAAAGCATT